AATGCCCATAAAAATATGAATTCTCCTCAGGAGCTTATATTCACCTTGCTTTATCTAGAACTGTGCTATTCCGTACAGTAGCCACTCGGCACATGTGGCTACATTTAAATAATTAAATATAATTTAAAATTCAGTTCCTCATTTGCACTAACCACATTTCAAGTGCTCAGTAACCACATAGGGCTTATAACTACTATATTGGATAGCACAGATATAGAACATTTCCATCGTCACAGAAGGTTCTTTTGGCCAGTGCTGATCTAGAACCAAGTCTTCGTCAGTATCACATGCCTGTGCATCAGCAATGCTCTGGACTATGTTTGATGCTGTGCCCTTGAGCTCCTCTTCCTTTCCTCCATGAGAAAGCAAAGGGTTAGTTCATTAAAGAAAGTTTATTCACAGATCTTTAAAAATAATTGTATTATTATATGTCTTAGGAGAAAGGGCAAAGTTTGCAGAGATGACTCTCCGTAACCTGGGGCCTATTAACATGTATTTACTTCCCTACCTTGAAAATGAGATCAGTAGGATGTTTGTAATTCTTTACCCTCCTCTCTTGTAACTATTTCTCCATCCCTACTTTATTGACCCCTTGTCGTATTTGAGACGGGAGCCTTAGCTCCTTTGAAGTTGCTTATTAAGGGCAATAGCTATTGATCAGGTATGTGAAATATGTCTTTTTGAGCCTTAAAAAAATCTGATAATTATCTAATTTAATTTAGAACATTGTATTGGGAAATTACATCAATATAGGCCATCCTAAGAATGGCATTTCCTTTTTCAAAAATAGTGTGATTACTTCCTCCTAGGGCGAGAAGGTTTTTTATTTGATAAAGCCAACAGATGACAATTTGGCACTCTATGAATCTTGGAGTTCATCTGTGACCCAGAGTGAAGTATTCTTTGGAGATAAGGTGGATAAATGCTACAAATGTGTGGTAAAGCAGGGACATACCTTATTTGTTCCTACAGGTAAGGTTTTAATCCCATCCCGCTCCCCATAGTGGATACTCATCACATGGAGTCAGCTTTTGATTGAAATCTCTGACTTTAATGTGTTTGGAAAGTAGATTTGCATAGCCCGAGAGATGATTCTGATCTTGGACTTTTCACTACTTTGTGCCTTCGAGGGCTTCTCTTGTAGTCAGGACTTGTTTTGGCATTGTGTTTTATGTCATTTGCCTTCACTTTTATTTTTATTTAGAAAAATTCATATACCATAATCCTCACCCTTTTAAAGTGTACAATTCAATGGTTTTTAGTAGATTAACAGGGCTGTGCAACCCTACCCCTGTCTAATTCCAGAACATTTCATCACTTCAAAAAGAAACCCCATGCCATTTAGCAGTCACTCCACATTTCCCCTCCTCTGAGCCCCTAGCAACCACTAATGTGCTTTCAGTCTCTGTGGATTTGCCTATTTTGGGCATTTCATATATAATACGTGGCCTTTTGTATCTAGCTTCTTTTAGTTAGCATCATGTTTACTAGGCTCATCCATGTTGTAGCACTTGTCAGTGTTTCATTGCCTTTTATGGCCAAATAATATTCCATTGCATGGATGTACCACATTTCATTTATCCCTTCATCAGTTGATGGACATTTGGGTTGTTTCCACTTTTTGGCTCTTAACGAATAGTGCTGCTTTGAACATTTGTGTGAAAGTTTTTGTGTGCAGGTTTGTTTTCATTTACCTTGGTTATATATACCTAGTAGTGGAATTGCTGGGTCATATGGTTTAATGATGTTTAACTTTTTGAGGAACTGCCAAACTGTTTTCCTAGTGGCTGCACCATTTTACATTCCCACCAGCAATGTACAGGTGTTCCAGTTTCTCTACATCCTCACCAACACTGTAATTATCTTTTTTTATTTTTGTCATTCTAGTATACTTGTATCTCATTGTGGTTTTAATTTGCATTTCCTTAATGAGTAATGATGCTGAGCATTTCTCTTATTGGCCATTTGTATATCTTCTTTGGAGAAATGTCTGTTTAAATCCTTTGCCCATTTTCATGTTGGGTTGTCTTTTTATTGTTGAGTTGTAAGCATTCTTTATGTATTCTGTACACTAGACCCTTATCAGATATATGATTTGCAATATTTTCTCCCATTCTGTGGGTTGTCTTTTCATCTTCTTGATAATGTCCTTTGCATAAAATTTTGATGAAATTCCCTTTAATTTTAACTGGTCAGCTCTACATTGATGTCAAAGGCCCAAGCCTGCTGTAAGAATCTGGGCAGCTGTCCTGGGGCAGTTAGGAGGCAATGAGTCTGTTTTGAGGGACCCTAGGAAGGGATTGAGTACCAGCCTTAGCTATAGCCTCAAGTATAAGTATCAGGTCTGTCATTTTGAGACGTGACTAAATGCAGGGTATGGACTCTCCAGGTCAGTGGTTTTGAGAATTATGTTCTTCTGATTTGGGTGACCTTAATGGCTACACAGTTTGCAAGGATCTGTTACAGGCCCTGCTTTCTTACCTTGCCTCTGGAGTATATAATAAGAAGTATGTGTTAAGCAAATGAATGAATAAATGCCTAGAACTACCAGAATTTATAAATCTAGATACGTTTCAGTATTTTCACTGTGAATGGGCTAAGCTCCTCCCTTAAAGCCCCTTCCTTAAAGCCCCCCAAAGCTCCCTTTTATAATAGATATTTTGTTATGCCCACTTCAAAAATCTTGAATTCACGTTTATCATTAATATAACCACCTGCACCAGTAATTTCCCCCCCCATTGATGTAATGACCTAATTAGAATATAAAGAAGAAATTAAAAGTAATTTATAATAATACACCGTTTTACAATGTCCCTGCTCAGGCACAGCAGCATTAGAAGTCAGGATGATGCACAGGCCAGCTAACCAGTACAGGTGTGTAATTGGTAGTTCAAAGTCTGTAGCTTTGGTGTGGATTAATGGTTCTCAAACTTCATTGACCATCAGAATCACCTGGAGGGCTTATTAAAACGCAGAGTGCTGGGCCTTAACCCCAGCGGTTCTGATTCAGTAGCTCTGGGGTGGGCCTGAGAATTTGCATTTCTGACAAGTTCCAGGTTGAGGCTGATGCTGCTGGTCTGGGGACCACATTTGAAGAACTGCTGCTGTAGATAGTGTGATTTTTTTTTCCCCCCAAGGTAGTTGGCAACTGATACACTTCCTTCAGTTTACAGGCTACCTAGTTGTATTCCTGGATAATTGTGCCAAAACTATGCAAAAGATCCTTGTTTCATATGAATGGAGTTATAGTTTCTGGGCTCAGACAGTTAATAACAGATTTTGCACCTATCTGAATGCCCAGCAGAAATTTGAAAGTCCTGACTAATGGAGGAAAATTTCTTACTGTGTGGAACTGTCCTGCATGTTGCATCCCTGGCTCCCGCTCACAAAATGACAGTAGTGCCTCCTGATCACTGTGACAAAAAAAAAGCCCACCAAACTGTCTAGATCATACTCTACAGGCAGTACTGCCTCCATTGAGGACCACTGATCTACAGAATTTGAAGCCAACAGAGACTTCAAATTTGTGATTTCAGGGTCAAGCTCAAGGCTTTGTGCCTTTGAGCACACACATGGTCACCACCTGAAAGCCAGTCTTGCAGGGAGTTTTTTGATATTGTGTTACAGCACAATGAGGGATCAGAATATGAAAAGTATAAGGAAAGTGGGATCTGTCTATTTTAACAGTCAACTTTTACATGCAAACGTATGTGTGTATATTGATTTATGTTTATATGAAGTCTTTATGTTCAGTCTACGGACCTTTCTTTCAAAAGTTTAGCATCATCTCAGAAATGAGCCTCACTTTGAAAACATTTTTATGGGAAAACATTTTGACTTTGTGGGAAAATATCATTTTGATTGCCGACATTTATATTTATAGGACCATAACCCTGCCTAATGAAATGTGGGTGATCTACTTTTTCTTTCTTAGAGGAAGGTCCCAGGTTGAGTTCCATTGATCCTCCTCTGCTTGTTCCCTAAGGACACTTGTTTCAGGATGACACTAGGGAGGCAAAGCGCCCAGCCAGTCCCGTTGTTCATTTAATGAAAACGCGCTTGCCTCACTCTAACCAGATTTGACTTGTCTCAGAGTAAAATTTTTAATATAAAGTAGATTGTGTTTTTAAGCTAAAAAACTGAAACAGCAACAGCCACAAAAACCTTCACCTATCCTGCACCGTAATTTTGTCTAATTCGGTCAATCCATTTATCTTAAACACAGCACAGAGGCTGGCATATAATAGGCATTTAATACATATTTGAATCATTGAACTTCTAGATGGTAATAGACATTAGCTTCTCTGGCACTGAAGTATGAGGTAAACTGATTTTGATATTTTGTGTTTCTTAAAACAGGTATATATCACATTTGTGTGGTTTGAATATTGAAAAATCACTGATTTATATACTTTTAACCATTTCAGGGTGGATTCATGCTGTGCTCACTTCTCAGGACTGTATGGCTTTTGGGGGGAACTTTCTGCACAACCTTAACATTGGCATGCAGCTCAGGTTTGTGTCATCAGTATTTAAAGGATCTTTTGTCCTTTCTTAAATAGGACTTAGTTCTAAAAGTCAAAAAAAAAAAAAATTCAGCAACATACTTACTTGAGATCTCATGGAGATAGGCCCTGAGAAATTATTAGGAACTTTGAACAGAAGTATTGTCTTAAGATTTTGACAGGAGAACACCTTGATGCTTTTCTAATCTAAAACAAAAAGAATAATTTATTCAATTTGAGATTAGACATCTCCCCAAATTTCAAAATTTTGTAGAAATGGATAGACTCTCCTTTGGCTATTTTTACAGTGAGGGAATTGAACTAAAACCAGTCAGACTCAGGTGTGACATATGGTGCTGGAGCAGAGCAGCCCTCAGTTAGGATTGTTGTCAAAACACCTGCTTTAATTTTGCTGTGGTAAAGGATTAACAGCTATTTCCCCTTCTGCGTGAGAATTTGACCTTTGGGTAATAACTTACCCTGGTAGCCTAATGAGAGAAGAATGTTACAAGGCAACATTGCTTATGGTAAAATGATTCCTGATTGATAAACCGCATCAGTACTGGCAGAACTAGAAATACCTAGTAGGAAGCCATGTCTTTGGGCTTTCCTGAGTGTGAGTGTTATAACTTGGCATGCCCCTGGGGAGCCCCGGAAGCCATGCATCTGTGGAGTTATTACAAGAGATTCTGGCTCTTATGGGGGGTATGAAGCTTTAAGCCAGGGCAGCTCCCACACTTGCCAAGTACGAATCTTGTTTCTTTATACCTGAGCTGTCCCTGGGGAAAGACGGCTCCTGGCTGTGTGGACTGCTGCAAGGACTCCCACGGAAGACTCACCCTGTGGTGAGCTGTGGTTTCTCACAGGTCTTCTCACCTTGACCCTTGCCAAGTGTGGTCCTGAGCTTGAATGCTTAGTAGAGCCTAAAGAAAATGCCGTGAGAGGGTGTTGCAGTGCTGTCCAACACAGGCAGCTGGTTTCTAAACACATCATTCTATTTATTATAGTGGAACCCTTGTAAAGTTCCTTCTGTTAAAACTAGGCTACAGATCCCAAGGGGTGATCTTTTTGAAGCCCGCTGTAAATTCTTCAGTATCCTGTCAAATCTGTTAAGGGCGGACCTGAGTAAGATCACAACTCAGTCTTACCCACGTGTGGTGGTGTTGAGCGATGTGCCCTACTCGATTGGTCTTATACGTCGTGGGCTGCTTATTTTAGTTAAGTTGGTTGTCTCCATTTAACTTTGAAATGCTAATATTAATATTAAATTTCTTCAACTCTTTATTTATTTAGGTGTTATGAGATGGAAAAAAGGCTAAAAACACCAGATCTTTTCAAATTCCCTTTCTTTGAAGCCATATGTTGGTTTGTAGCCAAAAACTTGCTGGAGACCCTAAAAGGTAATAAATAATCTGTACATTTTGTTGTTTCATATGATGTATGATATTTCTAAATTCACTAAAAGCCACTCATAGAAAGAGAGGTTCTTTTTAAAATGTGGTGTGGCTATTGTCCCTATTTTGTTTTTGTTTTTGTTTTTTTTTGGCGGTACACGGGCCTCTCCCTGTTGTGGCCTCTCCCGTTGCGGAGCACAGGCTCTTGACGCACAGGCTCAGCGGCCATGGCTCACGGGCCCAGCCGCTCCGCGGCATGTGGGATCTTCCCAGACCGGGACACGAACGCGTGTCCCCTGCATCGGCAGGCAGACTCTCGACCACCACACCACCAGGGAAGCCCCCTATTTTGTTTTTTAAATGCATGATTTTCCTCTGTTCAGAACCTTTTTAGCAAATTAGAAAATCTCTAGTCCATAGGCATAAAAATCAGATATATGAAGAGCTGCATCAGAACCACACAGGAAATATTGAAAAATGTTCCTTTCACTGGGTCTTTAGTCATCTGCACACATTATCGGGCACGTAAAAGTACCTCACTAACAAAAATGCAGTTGAAGCCAAGGGACTGTTACCTAGTATTTGTTCCCAAACATTTGCTTTTAAAAAATCGAGGGAATAATTTTCATGTCCTGAGTGAAACAGGTGGTGTCTGTGCCATTACCATTATGACCATTATGTGGCCAGTAGAAAGCACCTGTTAGCACAAACCAACTAGTGTCAGGCTATGCATCTATAGTTGAAGAAAAATGGTTCTTTTCAAGGGAGGGGGGAAATATATCCCTTTAAACTTGAAAGGTACCACCTGTTTTATGTGGAATTTCAGATTTTGATGTTTTATTACTGGTTTAATAATCTTTGAGCAGTCAAGTTGGAGACTCACTGTAACTTCCACTTTTATCTATTTTTTGCTTTTCGTGCACTTATGCCCATGAAAATACAGTCCATCTGGTTTTTGTGTTGTTTAACTTTCCTAGTCAGTTTGCCAATAGTGCTACTATATTTTTAAAATTATTTAATTAATTTGGCTGCGTTGGGTCTCGTTGCTGCACGCGGGCTTTCTCTAGTTGCAGCGAGTGAGGGCTACTCTTTGTTGCAGTGCGCGGGCTTCTCACTGCAGTGGCCTCTCTTGTTGCGGAGCACGGGCTCTAGGCGTGGGGGCTTCAGTAGTTGTGGCATGCGGGCTCTAGAGCACAGGCTCAGTAGTTGTGGCACACGGGCTTAGTTGTTCCGCGGCATGTGGGATCTTCCTGGACCAGGGCTCAAACCCGTGTCTCCTGCACTGGCAGGCAGATTCTTAACCACTGCACCGCCAGGGAAGTCCCAGTGCTACTATTATAATTAACTCCGAGAAGAAGAGATATGAACAGATTAAACAATAAAGTCTAAACATTTGGGGGTCTTCCCCATTTAAATGTTACACAAGAAGAAAAGGTAAAAGGAAAAAAAACTACCAATAACTTATTTCCCAGGATGGCATGCACGGAATTAAAAGATAAAAATCATTTATGGTTTCTTTCCTTAAAAGGGGGACTGGGGAAAGCTCACTTTATTTGGAAGGAAAGAGCAGTAGAACCCCGTCTCACACCTTGTAGCACTGTGTAGAGGTAGGTGTCTTGACAGTGGTGCAGCTGTACAGGATGGAGGGGGGATCCCATCCATGGATGGGGAGGAATAGTGCTCTCGGGTATTTTTCTTGGCTGCAGGGATGTCACAGTAGACCCATAGAGTTGCAATATATGATTTTCAGTAAAATACTGGACAGTAAATTTCATAGTCTCCTATTCAAGTAGAAGCCTGGGAAAATAGGAACACTTATAAAAACACTTACAAATGTCCTTATTTTCTGGAAATAAAACCCAATTACTGAACTCTCCAGATAAGAGTTTGGCAATTCAATATTCAGAAAATTCAGAGCACTTTTTCCATCTTTCTCTTCTAACACATACATGTGCACACACACACACACACACACACTGACATACATACACACCTGGGGTAATGCTTCTTCCTTAATGTCTAAGAGGGGCTCATCAATCGACTTTTTAGAACAAATTAAAAATTTATCTAAAAGACAAACTCTTGCTGTTCCCCTTGCAGCCACAAGCAGCAAATTGTTCAGTCTTAGAATAACGATTTAACCTTTGTTTTAGACCATTGAGAGTTCAGAAATATTGAGGTCTCACTGAAAACATGAACCTATACATTAAAAACCTAAAAAAAAACCCCAATTACTGTAAAAGGATATTTGTAGGTGAGGTTTTAAAATGTTTCCATTTTGTCAGCTATATCAGTACAGGCTACCTGGCAATATTAGTGAGTCAGTCCAGTCCCACAAAGGCTAGAGCCAGATGACCACTATACCAATTGCCATTGTCTTAGGATTCATCCTGGAAGTAGGAATGGTGGTCTTGTTACCCCACATTATGTTGTTTTTTAATTCCTGACCCTTTAACTTTCTACTATGGCCTGTTATCTTCCAGCTGAGGCTGTTAATAAGGTTTATATGATGGGTTAAATAAGTGTGGATTATATGAAACTCTTAACTGTGTTTAGTGTTAGTAATAATAAAACAGTGAACCAATTTTGGGTTCATGTAAGTAATTAAACACTGAGCAGAAGTGAGATCTTTTGCTTTTGTTTCACCTTACCTGAATTTTAGACCACATGTAATATATTTTGCATGAGTTTTAGATAATCAATTTGGTTTTAAAACCCAGAAGAGACATTTGTATGTGTGTATGTATATTTACCTTTACAATAACGTAGTATGTCATGCCCACAGTCAGTTGTGTAGGTCACACACTGCGTACACATACTCTCTCGTACAGTTCAAAAAATTACACAGCTGTCACTCAGGTCAGCTCTACCCAAAGTAAGCAAAAACTTGTTGCTACCTTAGAGAGGCCCAGTTATTTTTCCCATTGCACCTTCCTCCTTCCCTTCTAGAGAGAACCACCATCCTGGCTTTTGTGAAATCCTTTTCTTCAGTTTTATCACCGTGTCACTAACTAAAATAGTTTAATTTTGTCCATTTTTAGACTTCTTGTGAGTAGATTCCTACTGATACTCTTTTGTGACCTGTCTTTTACTCAGCATTATGTTTGTGAGCTTTCTTTTAACTGGAGCATTTAGTACAACTACATTTAATGTAATACTGTTTCTTTTCCTTTCTCACCTTTTCAACAGATTGTTTATTATTTCTCCATTAACTTGTTTGATATTTGGTGGTTACTCGAAACCTAAAGTTAATCCCTTTGTCACAGAGCACTAACTCCTTTCCCCCTCAACTTCATTGCCACAGAACTGAGAGAAGATGGTTTCCAGCCTCAGACTTACCTAGTACAGGGAGTGAAAGCGCTGCATACTGCTTTAAAATTATGGATGAAAAAAGAAGTAAGTAGTTGTCTTTGGTGAAATAATTGTTAATTTTTACATGGCAAGGTCAGGAAAACAGAGTTCTTATGTTATTTTGGAGTAGTAGAAGGAATGGAAATCATGCTTTAAGTACAACCTGCATTTTATTGGACAGTATATACAAATGTGCTGGTTTATATTTATATTTATGAGAATGAAGTACCTTGGTATTTCTTTTAACCTCAAAAAGAAAGTAAATTTGAGTATATCTAGGATACTAAGAAATGAACATGTAGATATAGAATAATAATATATAACTTTGAGCTCACATAGTGTGCTAACCACTGTGCTTAGTTTTTATAACCATAAACTCATTTACTCTTCAGAACAGCTATATGAGGTTGGGGTACTCTTGGTATCACCATTTTACATATGGGGAAGCTGAGGTTCAGAGTTTAAGAGCTTGCCCAAGACAACGGGTGGAGCTAGGATTAAAGCTCAGTCTCTGTGTTTGCAAAGCCTATGCTGTTATCCCTCTGCTAGTCTTATGTAAGAACGAAGGAAAAGAGAGGTCAGGGTTCAAGCAGGAGATATCCATTTTTCCCTAAAATGTGGTCGTTTGCATTTGAATCCCACCACCTCTAAGAGGTCATCCCAGGTCTCATTTGGAAGCAGTATGTCCTTTCCTTATGCGTCCATAGCGTATCTCTTGTGCCAGTGGACTTAAAAGTAATGTCCATAAAGTAATGTGTCCATGTCCTCTTGTCTAAGTTTATAAGCTCTTGAAAAACAGGGACTTTCTCATCTTCATTTCCTTCCTGGAACTTTACACACAATGTTTTAATAATAAATGATAAATAGTTGAGCTGATGAAAATACATTCCCATGCTAATTTCTCAAATGTCCACCTGAAATAAAAATCCCCCTCTTAAAAGATATTGGGAGACAGTAATTAATAGGTTACCCTCCCAGTAATTTTATGCTCCCTTTCACTTTATTATCATTGCTGCATATCCATTAAGAGTAAGGGCACTGTGTAAGCATTCAGGAAAATAAAAATCATGTCTTCCAATGTCAAAGATGTCATCTAAATGACAAGTAAAGGCATAAACAGATTACAAAAGTATATAGTATATAAAAAGATAAAAACAAAATAAAGGGTATGTTGCAAAAACCATGTCATTCTTTTCCTTCTGAAGGCTGTAGACAAGTTGTTCTCAAACTTGTCTGTTTATCAAAATTGCCTTTAGAGCTTTTTAAAAATAAACTCCCTGCTTCTTTCCCGGGAGATTCTGATTTAATTGATCTGGGGTAGGATCTGAACCTCTGATTTTAACAGACTTTGTAGGTGATTTTGATGCACAGTAAAACTCGTCAATAATACATACTGTTAATTCATTGCATTTGAAGTGCACTTTTAAAAGCATGATGTTTGCAGTTAACTGTCCACCTTGCACTAAGATGAGAGGTAGCTTAGCGTAGTGGCTTAGAGTGTGAACTCTGGAGTCAGAGGCTTGGATTCAAGCCTTAGCAATGCTGCTAATAAACCGCTAACCTGTGCTTGAGGCCCTCAACTGTAAAGTGAGAGTCCTAATAGTATCTCTGTCAGAGTGTTGTTGAAAGGATTTATGAGTTAACACTCGTAAAGTACTCAACTGTATCTTGATGTCATTAGTTTGTTTTAACAAATTATGCTAAACCAAGGAGAGGATGTAAAGCAGACGTAACAATTAGTACGTTAAGTGTGTGCCTAAAAGGTCAAAACTTTCTTAGATATACAGATTCATATTTGGAAATAGACATAATAAATAATGACAGCAGTTTGCAGTTCAGTAGATATGGTAACTCACCAATTAATTCCTCTTTCCTGTGGATGGGATCTTTTCCCTATTTCGCTTTCAATGTGAAAAGAAAAAAACTTGGCGAATTAGATATCCCATGAGAAACTAGGACTATTCTAGTGCCTGTGTTCCCCCTTACAGATCCTTACGTATTATGAATTAAATTTAGTTAGTTTCTCTACTAATTATAGTAGTAGTTAGAATTACAGTAGGCTTTGAGGTGTAGAGTCCATATAGAACAAAATTTACAGTAAGACAAGTCCATTTTTAACTCAAGGTAAGAGGATTTTATGAGTTAATAAGGATCTCCTTAGAAGATATGAAACCAACCACATGAGCTCTGAGACCTGACTTGTGGATATTTGGCCTTGTCTGTAAAATCTAGAGAACCTGAAAATTGATTTAGTAAATTAGTTTTTACACCTTAAAATGTAAGTAACTTTGGTTGTCTTATCTTTGTTAATCCAAATACAGCTTGTATCTGAACATGCCTTTGAAATTCCAGACAATGTTAGACCTGGACATCTTATTAAAGAACTTTCTAAAGTAATTCGAGCAATAGAGGTAAGAGTAGAAACTATCATCTAAATGCCTGGTTACTGTCTTCTTTGAGAAGCAGTTGGATCTGCCACCACACTACAAACATTGGAAAGCCCTGACACTCTTAGAAGAAATAGAATGCACTGTGTCTTGGAAGGAGTCTCAGGTTTTCAGGCTCCCAAAGTCCTATGGAGAAATCTGGAGTATTGTATCGTAGTGAAGTAATAAGGAAGCAGTTACCAGGTTACTTCAGGTTCTCCAGGTTACTCCAAAAATAAAAACAATACAGCATAAACAAGACTTTCAGATCTCATTCATTTCTGCAATGCAGAGATGAATACATGTTAAGAAATGAAAGAGAGAGAAAAGGTAAGATGAGTAAGAGCTGGGTGAAACTGAATTGGAAAGAGGGATGACACAAGTAAGGTGGGGCAAGGAGATCCACTTGAGTGAAAATATTACAGCAACTCGTTTAGGTAAATGCCCTTTGATAAAAGGCCATGAAGTCTTAGATTAGGTGTTTTAATTTATTAATTAGGAGCTATTCTAGGTATTAAAGAAAGGTGGTTTTAATTAAAGTAATTCTTGAGGAAGGTGGTTCTGTTAGTGTCCAGCTTGAACTGAAAGGAAATTAAGTGGAGGAATGGCAGCTAACTGACACAGCTCAGATTAGGGCTGTGTTTGGGGAATGAAAAGAGGTGTACGTTTAAGAAATATTAAAATGTTGGGTTTAATATCCTTGGATAGAGTATTTCATGTAATTCTCAGTATGTTCAGATATGGTAATCAATTATTTTCTGTTTTTGAAGAGGTGCATATAAATGGATTTTTAAAATCAAAAGTCACACATTTAATCTTAAATATATATGTAAATGGATAAATATATAAATATCATATATAATAACAACCAAAACTAAGAATAAACTCAATAAGAAAGGTGTAGGTCTATATGAAAAAACTATAAATCTTTACTAAGAGAAATAAAACTATAGTTGAATAAATGGGAGTGTCATTTCTGAAATATGTCAATTCCAAATTAGTATTACAAATTGAAAATGGTAAAATATACTTGGAAGAATAATTGGACAAAAATAGTCAACAAAGTGTTTTTTTGTTGTTTTGGGTTTTTTGTTGTTGTTGTTGTTGTTGTTGTTGTTTTTGGGCCTCTCCTGGGCCTCTCACTGTTGTGGCCTCTCCCATTGCGGAGCACAGGCTCCGGACGCGCAGGCTCAGCAGCCATGGCTCACGGGCCCAGCCGCTCCACGGCATGTGGGATCTTCCCAGACCGGGGCACGAACCCGTGTCCCCTGCATCGGCAGGCGGACTCTCAACCACTGCGCCACCAGGGAAGCCCTGTTGTTGTTGTTTTAATTGGAGGGTAGGGAGTACAGAAGGAAGCAAAATGGCAGTAGAAAAATGTACAAAGAAAATATAAACAGGTATTTCACCAAAGAAGACATAGAAATGGCCAATCTAATAAAAATATGAAAAATATTCTCAATATGCGAAAAGTATTCAAGTACATTTTGCCACATAATTTATGATTTCAAATGATCATTTATCAGATTGGCAAAGATAAAATTCTTTATTTTTGTGCTGCTGGTTGGAAGTGTAAATAGTTCATGCTTTCTAACTGGCATATCCCTTGACTTAGCATTATTTTAATAAAGTAAATAAGAGGAATCCAATTAAACTTTGTACATGACCATACCTGTTTACCACTATCATCTCTTGGAACCAAAATGATAGTAAAAGAATAAAAAGAAATATCCCCTGAAGACAAAGAGAATAATAGAGATGAAGACTCCAACAAAATTTTGGAAGCTGGAAAGCAAATGTTCAAGTGGTAACTGACTTAGCAGATCAGAGAGAGCTGAAACCTGTGTGGGCAGTGGGAGAAGACCAGAGCAGATCTTATTTGTACAGTAAAACCTTCAAAAAGTTCAGCAATCAGGGAAACTAGGACCCTCTGAATATGAGAGTGGAGGTGGGGTTGAAAGCAGGATTGATTAAAGGTCTATTTAAGAAATAAATTGACCTCCAGATTCCTGCCTTAACACATGCAAAAAACTAGAGATTTAATTTTTTAGAGGTTGAACTTGAGACTGGACTTTGGCCACTGAACCCAGCTGAGGGAGATATAGGTACCGTACTGAAAACAAGAGGATTAAGTGACAGTCTACATGGTGAATGATTCTTCTTCCACGTGGCTCCCCAAAACACTGGCAGCCTGAGCTGTACCTCCCAGGCCAAGAAGAAGGTCCACTGATGTTGACAATTTGAATCCTTCAAATGGAACAACCCAAATTCCTATAGTGAAACCCATCAGTTGATAAAGCCCCACTCACACAGAGCTCCCAATTAGCTTTTTCCTTTTTACATACAGTGAAACGCACAGGTCATGAAACTACAATTCAAGTTTTGACAAAAGTATATACCTGTGTAACCCTTACTCCAGTTGAGCTAAAAATCATCTGCATCACCCCAGAAGGTCATTTCTTGCCCCCTTCTATTCAGTCTTGGACTATCATAGCTACCACTGTTCTGACCTCTCCTGCTTTATCATAGATTAATTTTGCCTATTTTTGTATTTCAGATAAGGGCAGTCATACAACATATAGTGTTTTTGTGTCTGGCTTCTTTAAACATAAGGCTTTTGAGATTCATTCACGTTGCATGTGTCAGTAGTTCTTTTTCATTGCTGAGTAGTATTCGGTTAAATGAATATACCACAGTTTGTTTTCCATTCTTCTGCTGATGAATATTTGGGTTATATGCAGATTTGGCCATTATGAATAAAACTGTTATAAGCAACCTGTGTGTCTTGTGGTAGATATATGTTTTCATTTTTCTTGGATAAATACCCGGGAGTAGAGTTGTTAAGTCATAGGGTAAATGAATTTTTAACTTTATGAGAATCTGCCAAACAGTTTTCCAAAGTGGTTGTACCATTTTACACTCTCACCAGTAATGTATAGGAGTTGTAGTTGTTCCATATCCTTGCCAATAAGTATTTGGTGTTTTCAGTCTTTTTAATTTTTGCTATTGCAGAGAATATGAAATGTTGTTTCATTGTGGTGTTAGTTTACATTTTCCTGAAGACTGATGATGTTGAACACCTTTTTGTGTGCATGGCTGTCTGTATATCTTCCCTTATGAAGTATCTGTTTGAAGTTTTTGCCCATTTAAAAAATTATGTTTTTTTTTGTTTTTTTTTTTTTCTTGCGTTATGCGGGCCTCTCACTGTTGTGGCCTCTCCCATTTGCGGAGCACAGGCTCCGGACGCGCAGGCTCAGTGGCCATGGCTCACGGGCCCAGCCGCTCCGCGGCATGTGGGATCTTCCCGAAACGGGGCACGAACCCGCGTCTCCTGCATCGGCAGGCGGACTCTCAAGCACTGCGCCACCAGGGAAGCCCGGGAGCTATTATTTAAGAGTTTGCGAGGATTAAAAAGTTCTGGAGATGGATAGTGGTGATGGTTAGACAACGATGTGAAATGTACTTAATGCCACTGAACTGTGCATTTTACACTTTAAAATGGTAAATTATGTATACGTTACATATAAATTACATATACACATGTGGTACAAAATTCTGTGTATGTTACTACAATGCTTAAAAACTTGCAAGTTGTTACCTCTGGAGAAAGCGAATCAGATGGGGACGAGTAGACTGCGCTTTTCATGATATGCTTATAGAGTTAATTTTTAAAGCTACATAGAGACGTGTGACTTTGGTTTAAAAAGCATTTATTGTTTTATGCAATTATGTATGTGAAAGAATTTCATCATAGGGACGAACTGGAAGCAGCCTAAATAATTGCCATTAAATATTAGGTCAATAAATGATGCCATATCTCTACAGTAGAATATGATACAGCCTTTAAAATGATATTGAAAATCAAGGAAATATGTTCACAGTATATTACGTGGGGGAGAGAAGGGGAAAAGGTCTCAGCAAAGTCGTTCAAGTTTTATAATTTGGTGTTTTTTGTTTATATGATTAAACTGAATGTTTTTTGTTTTCTAAAATATTTTTATGGCTCATTAGTCAGGTATGTTTGTGGCCTTGTCATAAAAATACCCTGAATTTCATTCTTAAAGGAGGAAAACGGCAAACCAGTTAAATCTCAGGGAATTCCTACTGTATGTCCAGTTTCACGATCCTCAAATGAAGCAGCTTCCCCATACCATTCCCGACGAAGGATGCGGAAACTTCGAGATCATAATGTCCGAACTCCTTCTAACCTAGACATCCTGGAGCTCCACACGAGGGAGGTGCTCAGAAGACTGGAGATGTGTCCCTGGGAAGAGGCAAGCTTCCGTTCCATGGTCACACAGGAGACTTGGTCGTTTCTGAAAGGCCTTCAGAAGGACTATAGAAAGAGAACAGTCCGGCCGTTCTTGTCTGATCTTTGCTTAGTGCTGTAGGGGTCAGCAGCGCTTCTGCTTGTGACAGGGACATGCTTCAGCGTAGGAGTAGGGCGAACAGATCTCATCTGTTTGCCGACACGTTTACTGAGTGCTTACCAAGTGCCGCGTGCTCTTCTAGGCTCTGGAGAAGATACCAGAGTGAGCGTAACCTAAGTCCCTGCCCTGGTGTAGCTTCCATCCTAGCTCAAGTTGGAAGGATTGAAGTCAGAGACAGATATTAAAATAATATAATTTCAGAAAACAAATGTTATGAAGAAAGAGTGCAGTAGAGCCAGAGAATAAAAGGGCTCGGGTGGCTGGCTGCTTTAGCTAAGGGGGTCAGAGAGCCTCTCAGGTGGGTGCATTTGAATGCCACTTACATAGCAGAAAAAGTCAGATGGATACACAGACTGGAGGAAGAGTATTGCAGGCAGAGGGAAGAACAAGTGCAGAAGGCCTTTTCCTGGCCCAGCAGCAGCAGCATGTGGATAACTGTTAGGCTGGGAGCCTCTTAAACCCATGACGACAGTTTGAGAAGTGATGGCCTGAAGGACAAAGGGGAGAAGCAGTGGGGCAGTAATGAGCTCAATGTAGGGCCTTTGTAAAACATGCTAATGACATGTGGTGAGATCCATATCATCCATGATTTTACATCTTAAGTAGAGGATAATTTAAAATGAATAAGATAGCAGTATCTCTTAACATTTAAAGAAGCTATATAGAAATGAACACTTCCTTAAATATTTTAAATTTTATATAATTATATTTATACTGTTTTAAGCTTTTGTTGTTCTAAACCGCCTTAAACCCATAGCCATCTAGGAGAAGATTTAGCTTATTTTAAAAGGTTCTATTTATTATTAAAGAAAAATAATACCACGAAAAGGAAATATTCTTTATGTATTGAAAACCAGCTACTGTTGTGCCTTTATGTCACCCGGTGGCCTTTGTTCCCGGTGATAGCAGGGTGATGACATGTAAATTGCTAGGAGTGCCTGGTGGGAAGACTAGAGATGAGGTCAGAGATAGGGTAACTGGAAAGGACCCAGCAGCTAGCACTTCTGCAGGGAGAAGCAAGGCAAAGGGAATTCAGATCCGTGAAGGTGGTACTGCTCCAGCTTTTCAGTTTTTCAGCTTTCTGCAGGGTGAAATGTCTGAATTCACTTGATAGAGATTTTATATTCTGCGTTATAGAATGTGTTTTATAGTTAACCGGCCCTACGGAAAGGTGAACCGGATTCATGCTTTGGTTTTAGGAACCATTTAGTTTTCGTGCCACACCACTGCAAACGCCCTAGCCCTGGAGGCTGCCCAGCATTGTTCAGCGTGCAGGGCTTGGGGGGCGGGGGGGAGCTGGTGGGTGGTATACAGTTCTTTACTTGTCAAGCTGGTATATTTGAGGGCGGAGGTTAAGTAAGTTATGTTTTTATACTTTCAGGACATTTTGAGCTCTAAACTGAACGGAAAATTCAACAAACATCTCCAGCCATCTTCCACGGTACCTGAATGGAGAGCGAAAGATAACGATCTCCGATTACTGCTGACAAATGGGAGGATAATTAAGTATGTGAAGTAGATCAAAGTATCCAACAGATTAGTTTTCGGGGGATTCCCTCTGTTCATTTAATCTCTGGTCCAGACTGTTACACAGCTGCCTGAAATATGGGGAAAGTGTCTTGGTTCTCTATTTTCTCTGCAAATTAAGGAGGGTTTAATACCGTTTGGCTGCGTGGTTGCACTGTTTTCTGACTCGATTGTTTTTCCCACTGTATACAGGGATGAGAGACAACCCTTTACAGATCAGAGTCTTTATACAGCAGACAGTGAAAATGAAGAGGATAAGAGAAGGACAAAAAAGGCAAAAGTGAAGACGGAAGAGAGCTCAGGAATAGAGGGGGTGGAGAATGAAGTGTCTCAGAAACCACTTAACAGTATGTTTGTTTTAATGGTCATTTTAAAGGTCTGCTCCTTACCAATGTGCTAATAATATGTAAAGTAACTTGCTAATTTTGAAGTGCTTAAATCAGTAGTAGGATTACAATTTCTGTGTCCCTGATACTCTTTTGAGAAGTCTGGAGCATTTCGGAGTCGTCTCCCCATCAGGGAAATGTCAGATGTGACCACCAAGTGAGGGGTGGCATCTAGGGAAGGTGGTATTAGTGACGAGGATGTCGCCGGCCAGTGACACCCTCATCTAGTAACAGTTTTTACAAGAGTCACATGAAGCTCATGCATCTTACGTGCCTCTACTCCAAATAATAAAGTTGCAAGTTTAATCCTATTTCTGAGATAATTTTAGCTACCATACATATGGTTTTCAGAATTAGGAGACATATATAACTGGCTGATCTGAAGCTATTAGCAATCCATGTATTGTTTTATTTGATTGCCTGTTGACAAGAAGACCTCTACTTGGTTATTAATTGGTTATCATCAGTGTGATGAGTAGTAACACCTCCTCCTCCTCGAGATCTTTCTTCTTTGAATGAAGTCTTCATTTTCTCAACATTTTTCAGGGCCTCCATATACCCTTAAAAAGGAGTTAAATATTTTAGTACTTGATAAGTAAATGTTCCAGGTGATTAACATTATTTAATCCATGTTGGATATCTCAGTCCTGCTAATTCTGTGTAAGTCTGGTATTGCTGTAGTTGCTGACTCTGCCTTTGTTCTCGTGTCCGGGGAGAGGCAGCTAATCAATGGAATTCATCCAACAGTTGTTGAGGAGTGCTCCCGGCAAGAGAGAGGCAGGGCTGGAGCCTGGTTCAAGCTTGTTGGATTCACTGTCTACTTGAATGTGTCTTAGGCTTAGGAGAGTTTATTTTGTTTTGTTTTCTGTTGAGAGAAATAATGCACAACGGAAAGTGAAAAACATCTTGCAAGCTAATTTTAGTGTTAGAGGTTTTTTTCTGGAAAGAAATATAAAACAGTCAACCCACCCATATAAGGATTATATCACCATATTCAACAAATACCCCAGATATTTTAAGAATACACGTTAATCTGTATCTTGGTCAATTAGGGAGATAGTCCATGGGGGAGGAATGGAATGAAGACAATGAGAGCAGTGAGAAAAGGACAGAGCAGGAGCAGGTGAGGCATCTCACAAAGCTGGACAGGCTTTGGGTGGCACTTTATTCAAATTCTCATGACTCTTTTTCTCTCATCATTTTCCTTCTCAGGGTTTTTAACAAGTGTGAAATCAGAACTCAGGAATCGATCATCAGAATATTCTGATATTTCTGATTCAGAAGACTCTGGACCTGATTGCACCGCACTGGTACGCCTGGAACCCTTAACTTAAAGTTATGTGACAAAAAGATGAACACCCACTTTCCTTTACCTAGGAGGAAAGTGAATGACAGCTTTCCCAAAGCCTGTCTCTCTGACCTTTGTGGCACAGGGCCTTCTCTGCAGTGGTAATTATGCACACACGTCCCATCATGTAACTATTTACATCTGATCGACATAGCTTTTGTCTGATTTTGGAAAGGGTGGAGGGAGATACTGTTCTCATGTTTCTCGTAGTTCTCTCATAGGTTATATTTCATTTTGCCTTAAAGAAAAACTGTACTATGTGGTTTTTTTTACTAAGGAATTATGTTACTGTAGTTATTAGACATTTTCACTTTTTCATATGAAATACAGAAATAATTCCATGATAATTAAGATTCTCACTTTCCCTAGACGGATAAAGTGTTTCTGGTTAGTTTGTACAGACCTGTTCAGACTTCTTATACAGATTTGCCTCCATTTAATTATCTCAGAAAAATAATTTTACCACTGAAGAGTCTGAAAGTTCAGGTGATGAAAAGAAACAAGAAATTACATCAAACTTTAAGGAAGAATCTAATTTGATGAGGAGCTTCCTTCAAAAGAGCCAGAAGCCGTCTAGGAGCGAAATTCCAGTTAAAAGGTGGGCATGCTGATGATGGTAGTCTTATTATATTGTGATATAAATGATAGGAAAACGTTTGTTGCTTTGTTTTGTTTGGGTTTTTTTTTTTTTTTTTTTTTTTTTTTTTTTGCGGTACACGGGCCTCTCACTGCTGTGGCCTCTCCCGTTGAGGAGCACAGGCTCCGGACGCACAGGCTCAGCGGCCATGGCTCACGGGCCCAGCTGCTCCACGGCATGTGGGATCTTCCCGGACCCAGGCACGAACCCGCGTCCCCTGCATCCGCAGGCGGACTCTCAACCACTGCGCCACCAGGGAAGCCCTGTTTTGTTTTAAATTTTACCAAAAATTTTATTAGAATTAAAAAGGTTCTTGTCTTTTTTGCTGATCCGCCCTCTAGGGAGTGTCCTACCTCGACGAGCACAGAGGAAGAAGCTATTCAGGGCATGCTGTCTATGGCAGGGTTGCACTATTCCACGTGTTTACAAAGGCAGATACAAAGCACAGACTGCGGCGGTGAAAGACACTCTCTCCAGGATCCCAGCAGCTGCCGCAGCAGTAACCATGAGGTTAGGCAGCTGTATCGCTGTGATAAGCCAGTGGAAAGTGGTAAGAAACATAAACTATAAGTCTCTGAAAAATAACATAGAAGCCCTACATTAATAGCCCTGTCATCCTAGTTGAGGTTAGAGATTATGAATAAGAACTGTTTATTGCACATCTTTAGTTGGAAATGGTGTTAAGCCTATTGGCAAAAGAATACATAATGTCGACAAATGTAAGATGCAAGTATAAGAACTCAAAATGTAAATTAATGGATTAAGAGTTGTGTTCACTGGCTGTCACAAGACAGTATTGTTTCCCTTTTATAAGTCGGTCAGAGTGGAGGGAATGTTTTGGTGTCTTAATTGATGTGCTAGGTTTGAACAATCAACTCTTTTTCCTTTTGTGGAAGCAAGCTTTGAACTGTTTCTGCTTGAGGATGTTCTCTCCTAATTGAAAAGGAAGCATTAGGAAAGAGAGAAGACTCGGTGGCATTATCAGTGATGCCACACAGTGTTTTCTTCTGTCTGCCTTTGGTGAAAAATTTTATTTCCCTAAAAATCTGAGGAGGATTGGGGAGAAGATGGTACCACATTAAAACTGAAGTCTCTTGTAGACATTGTGTTCATTCCCACCTAACTGTGTTAACTAAGTACCAGGAGCTTGACATTGATTTCACTTAATTCTCGAAACAACATTTTGGGTGTATGTAATGTAGCTTTAACAGGTAAAGGAAAAAAGACTTAGTGGACTTCACTTGCCCATACTTACATAGCTGTTCAGAGGTTGGAATTTGAACCCAGGACTAGACGGTTTGATCTCAAAATCTTTGCTTACTGTATAAGAGGAAACTGAGGTTTAAAGAGGTTAAGTAACTTGCCTTAAGATGCATTGATAATGGAAGAACTTAAATTCAAATCTGGGTTTGTCTGTCTTTCCACTATACCATTCTGTCTCCCTGTAATCTCTTTGTCCCTTGAAAAGAAAGCTTCTACGGAAATGCTGCCAAATTCAGGCAAACATATGCCTTTATTCTATATGGGAAAATATATTACTTTTAGAGAAAGTATTATTGCACTTGGTTTTACATCTACAGCAGATGGCCATAGAATTTGATCTAGGTCCTCCAGCATCTGGCACAAAATCCTGCCATAGAAAGACAGTCATTGGGAGAATTGAAAGAATTAACATGTTAGATTGAGAGCTGGTGACTGTTTTGTTTTTGAGAGGGAAAAGAGTATCGGAATAAAGAGTTAGTGTATTCATTTAAAAATAAAATGTCAATATAAATTTACTTTCTATTTTAAGTAGCAGGCTAACTTTGTTCTTTATGATCTAGTTTGTGCGAAGATCATTTAATTAAAGCTTCTCTTTAGGGTATCACGTCAAGACTGAAGATCAAGACTTGAGGAGTTCTTCCTGGATTAAACAATTTGATACAACTTCCAGATTTAATCGTCAGGTATATTCAAGGTTTGAAACGTTAAAATAGATTGTCATTGGCTCCGTTTTTGCTTTCTTTTTTTAAGCTGCAACCAGTGATCAACCACTAGACCTGGAAAGCTTAAAAATGACCATTAAACGCACATTTGAACAGATATCCATTTTTAGGGATTCTGATATAATGACTGATGAAAGGCTTATGGATAGAATGTGATCTGGAAAAGAACAGTTTATTTAAGAAAACAGTTAAAAACTCCCAACACCTTTAGGTTATGTCTGGCTAGAATGAAACATGAAAGGAAAACAAAAGTACCACGAGGATCCTTTTAGTTTCTGACATTGTTTGTCAGATTTTTTTTTTTATGTTATTTTATTTATTTTTGGCTGTGTCGGGTCTTAGGTGCGGCACACAGGATCTTTGTTGAGGCGCGCAGCTTCTCTCTATTTGTGGCGTGTGGGTTTTCTCTCTCTCGTTGTGGCGCGCAGATTCCAGGGCGCGTGGGCTCTGTAGTTGTGGCACACAGGCTTAGTTGCCCCGTGGCCTGTGGGATCTTAGTGCCCTGACCAGGGATCGAACCCACGTCCCCTGCATTGTAAGGCGGGTTCTTTACCACTGAACCACCAGGGAAGTCCCTGTCAGATATTTTTAGATACTAAATTTCTTTGAGAGTTTGATGACAGTTACGGATTCTCTTTCCAGAAAAATGTCCATCATAAATATGACTTGTGCTTACATTTTCTCATGGTCTGTGCCCACCCTCACCCCAGACCATTCATTGACTCCAGATTAAGAGTCCCTGCTCTAAGAGAAGGCACTTGATGTTTTAGGATCCTGGTGTATGAATGCTTATACCAAACAAAACGAACCCAAAATACCTTTTTAAAAAACCAAAACTTTACCAGTAGCACCATACAAGGAAAGCAGTATGACCTTTTGCTGCAGACCTTGGAAAATGACAGCCGAAGAAAGAATCAAAATTCTCATGTGGCAGAGTGGAGTCCTCAAGCCTCCCCAACCCCACGCATTCTCTGAGTAGCAGAAATATGGGTAGTTTTTATGTTCTTCGTTTGGCTTATCTATATTTTCTAAATACTTATCAATTACAGTTATAGTAAGAAAAAGAACCGAGTTATTTTTTCAAGGCAAGTACAAGTTCTCTTCATGGAAGGATATGCTCCAGGGTCAAAGGTCAGCTAAGAAATCCCTGAACTATTAAGAATTCACTTATTCAGTGTATGATTTTATAGTGCCTCACTGGTTAAAAAATTTATAACTCATTAGCATTATAGGATTTAGTATTAAAAGTAAGCTATTATTTAAATCTAATGGTTGTTTTTATAATTGTCTGAAAATAAAGAAGTAGGGGACAGATGATTAGCAAGATCACCTTAGAGAAGATTGAATTTCTATTGACTAATCTAGCGAGGTATTAGAAAGGCATGTCAAATTGAACAGCTGTTTCTTCAAGCTCAACAGTATTTGTGAGACTATTTTAAAGCAAGTCTGTGTTGAATGCTGTTTTTAAAACTTACTTGACCATTACAGAATCAGAAATTCACTTTAATACACACACACACACACACACACACACACACACACACTTAAAACTAGCTTCGTGAGACATCACATCTGCAGCATGCTCTTTTCGAGTTTATCTTTCCTTCTCTTTTTAATTCTGGTCAGGACCCTCTCTGTTTTGATTTCAAGATCCACCAGTCATCTATCTATCTATCTATCTATCTATCTATCTATCTATCTATGTTTTCTTCTCAACTTAAATTATGAGGCATCTTCAAGACTTGAATCCTTCAGCACTTCTAGGTTTTGGAATGAGATGGCCCTCAGGAGGGGTGGTTTTCTGAGGCTACTACGTGTTAAGAAAACCCAAGTTCAGTAATCTATTTCTTCTCTATCTTGAATTGTTAGTGCATAGAGAGGTTAAATACCGTACTTATCTTAAATGAACCCTAAAAATTCGACCTTATTTCCTTCCTTCTTTTTTAGGATCTCAGTAGAGGCCAGAAATGCATCAGAAAGGAAGTTTCATCAGAAGTCAGTCAGAAGGTACAAAGTAGGAATTCTGTGGACAGCAGTGGCTCAAGCCCTCAGAATGGAAAGTACATGCAGAGTTCAAGCTTGATGTCAGGGGCATGCCACATAAGTAATGGCAGTATAAGCCCAGAAAGGCCTGTTGGTGAGACTTCCTTTTCAGTGCCCCTTCACCCCACCAAGAGACCTGCATCAAATCCACCACCTATCAGCAACCAGGCAACAAAAGGTAACTGCTATCTGTGTGTGGGTTAAGTGCATTTCTGACTGTGTATGTTGGTGACAGTAGCAGTTTAGCTAGACATCGTCTGTACCCTCACGTTGCTCACAGCCTGCTGCGTCACAGCCAGCGCAGCGATAGCAGCAGCGTGCACAGGTTACTATGGGGACAGAGAAGCAGGATACCTCAGTCAACCCTGAGGAGCAGGAGGGGCTTCCTGGAGGGGGAGGTAGATCCTGGAGAGGCTGACCATGGGGGTTAGCCATGCTGAGGTGGGGGAAGGGACAGGGTAGACAGCACCGAAGGCAGAGGAGACAGTGTGACCCACAGGACAACGGGGAGAAACAGCACGGGGTTATGTATGAAACTGCCCGCAGTTTCATTGCTGAAGCACAGTTTGAGGCAGGATCGGGTAGGAGCTCGTGCTGAAGAGCTAGGCAGGGATCAGAGCGTGGGAGCGCCTCCTAAGTCTTAATGAAGGAGGTTGGCCCTTCCCTTTCACGTGATGAGGCGGAAGAGTTTTAAGCAGTGGAATTCCAGAAGTGTGACCCTGCTCATTCAAAACACCGAAAAGCCTTTGCCTACCATGTTGCCCGCGTTTAAATCTTCCCGGTGCTGTCACCTATGATTTTCATTGTTATTTATGCTGTTGTTGGTGTTCTGTATGTTATAGGCAAACGTCCGAAAAAAGGAATGGCAACAGCCAAACAGCGTCTTGGGAAGATCCTTAAATTGAACAGAAATGGCCACGCACGTTTCTTTGTGTGACGGAGCTGCGGTTGTGGTCACTCTTCCTTTCGGAGACCGGTCTCGGGGTACGGGAGCCTGGAGCTTCCGCGCGCCTCCGCTGTAGCAGTTTGCATGTACCGTAGGGAACACTGCCTGAAGAACGAAATGAACCTGATGCTGCATTTTCACTGTGCCACACCCACTCAGCAATAACCATTTTGGACCTGGTGGGGAGAGGAAGAAGGAGGGTAGAACCTTAAAAAGAGACCTTGAACTGGAAAGGGTCTCTTGTCAGGGCTTGAATTTCATTTTGTTGTTGGTAGTGTTTTGATTTATTTTCAGTGGTAGGGTAAAGAATTATCGATAATTTATTTAACAGATTTTTTTTTTTTTTTAAAGTTAACAGCTTTTAAATTTTTTCTTTTTTAAAGCTATTTATTTGGAAGATTTCTGGAGAAATATCTCACTAATTTAGATTTAAGAATGTGAAGGTTTTTAAATTATTTTTGATAGTGTGTGTGTTACATGTGGGGAAAAGCCACGGTAACAGTAACTAGTCTGGACTCTTAAATTTGCTATTCAGGTTAAAGTCTTAAACAGGGATTTGATGCATTAATTATTTTAAATTAAGATGTATATGAAAATCATTTTATTTTATATAATTCATGTGTTTTTTATAAGCTATTAGCTTCGCTTTTGCTAACATCCAAGGTGCATACTGTTATCCAGGTCTATTACCTATATCCCACCTTCCCTCTGCACTCCCCATCATTTCATAACGACACAAGACTCTTCTCTTTGCAGGGAAATACTTTCATAGCCAATGTGTAAGAACTACATAGAAGACCCCACATGTCTCATTTCATTTGACATTGCAATTTTCTTCTAAATAGAAAAATAGGCTTCTTGCATTTTCATTTTTTGCTGATGATATCTGGGTCCCAAAGAGTACAGCTTTAATATCTTTTTCCTACTTGTGGGAAAAGTATTATAAGTTTGGTTAAATTGTCATGTTTGTAGTTTTTCAAATACATTTGTAACTACAGAGGGCCTTCTTCATACTACTGGTATTGGAGGGCAGGACCAACACCTGCCACAGAGGTTATATTTTATGACGCTTTTATTCTGTATACCTAATTTGTTGGAGAATATGAAATATGGTTTGACTTAGAATATTCAAATCTGCATAATAAGCCGTAATATAATAAGACTATACTATATTAAGTTGTATAGAAGCAAGCATGTTGGAGTAGATGATTTGGGTGTGTCTGTGTGTGTGTGTGTGTGTGTGTGTGTGTGTGTGTGTTTAGTTTTTTATTTCTTAACCTTCTAAAGAATTATTTAAGATATGGATTTGGAGTAAAATGGGTGCTTTTTGCAGTTTCTTCCATCTATCCTAACTTAACCAGTGCATAGTGAGGTTAAGTATCTGGTTGAGCTTTAAGGAATCATTTTTCTCCTTTGTGCACAACTTTTACTAAGTGCCAGTTTTCAGTTGCTTGCAATAGCTTATATTTTCCTTTTCCGCCCCCCCATGACATAAAAACAAGTGATTTCTGCGGGGGGCGGGCAGTGGAAATATTCCCAGTTCCGACAATAGAGCATTTTACAGGTTCCTACAAAGAAAATATAGGCAAATTGGATAAAATTTATTTTTATGGAGAAGAAATACGGCCATATTATGGGTTTGTCTTTTTTTTTTTTTACTCAGCAGGACTTTCCCTTCTGTATTAAGTATCACTTGAAGAGCTAAGAAAAAAAAAAGTCTATACCATTATCTTCCATGGTCACATTCAAATGTGTATTTTCAAAGAGAAATATTTCTTACTCTGCCTCCCTTCCAGTATTTCATAGAATATATATGAAATATCTTACAAATGAGCCTTTTTGGTCCAAGTGACTGGACCACTGTCCGGGTGTTATCTGGGTGTCAGGAAGAAGAATTTTTATGGGAGTACTAAATGTCGATAATAGGCCTCCTTAAACTCTGCGCGCTATGCCGAAACTAGGTAGAGATAGGTAGAGTCAGTCATTTGTTGGTCATCAGAGCTCAAGATGTCAAAAATGTGGGTCTGCCTGTTTCTCCCACCTTCCCCACACAATATATTACTGTGATGTTTTGGTTTTCTGTAGACACCATTTTAGTGTTAAAATACACATGTTTTGGTGTTAGTTTAAGCATTGAGAATTATAATTTCTTTTTCCAGCTACATTATGATTTGGGTTCTTTTGTTGCCTTTACATTTTTCACAGCTCTAAGTATTTTTCGTTACCTTTTTTTTTTCTTGGCTATAAAAATGAAAATAAATAATTTATTTTTATGAATTAAAATTGTAGCCAGTATCTGCCCTGTGTACTTAGGCTGGTAAATACTAATTTTAAGTAGCCAGTATGTTGAACTTTTAAGTGAAGGAACTGTGGATTCATTTTTGGCAGTGTTAGCCCATTAACTGGCTAAGTTCAAAAAACTTTCAGTAACATGAAATAACCACTAAAACAGAATACATGTAATCTTTTTGTGTATTGGTAAAAATCCAGCCACTGATCCAGTGACTTCCTTGTCAAACCTCTTGTAAAATCACTGGCTGTGATGCATCCCTTTATCTTGTAGAAATGACAGAACTTTGAAGTAACAGCATCTGGACTCGACTGCAATAGACAGCCTTTCGTCTTTCCCTCAGTCTCATTTATTATGTGTTGTATAGACCCTGCAACCTAGGAAGACAGCAGTGGTGGCATTTAGCTAGTTATAAGCAAATACAAATTATGTCAAACACTTGTGATTTAACATATGCAATTTTAAGTGTAGTAGTAGGTAATCATTTTCCTGTATTGATTCAAATAAGTGACTTCTGTTAACCTGGGATCCACTGTACTGTAATTCATAATGTCACATAATATTATGCTCTCCAGTATTGATTAATGGTGTAAACTATACAAAGCTGGCAGTTTATAATAGCTCAATACCTAGAAATACTTTGAACTTCATAAGTATCAGTTAATTTTTAAAGCATACAGAATTCAAAATTCTGACCGAAGCCATCTTAGAAACTCAGAAAACAAACCCATCTTTATCACTACTTAGCACTGAATACTGCTTTATTTTGTTTTGCTCCATTTCTTAATAATCCTCATTATTGCCTTTTTAATGAACTCTACTGTATTTATTCAAATGAGGTCAGCAGGTATTTATCAGACATCTACTATGTGCCCAGCACTACTTAGTACTGTGGGGGCATATAAAGTTGAAGGTGTATTGTTTGCTCTTGAAGGAATATCTTCTCCAGGACATAAGCAGTATTGTTTTCACTTCTAAGCAAACTTAAGCAGGAGGGCCCGTTCCTAAAACAAAATAAAACAAAACTTTATTAGTTTTAACAGAGATACACTATACAACTGTAGAGGTAGAAGTAAAACAAAGTTTTTTTATATTTTCAAAATTTGAAAAACATTTCAGAAGTTAATAATTAAATGTTCGTAATCATAGGGGCACGTTGTAGCATGAAAGGGAGCAGAAGACCTCGGTGTTTGTCCAAGTTCTGCCCTTTATGTTTCAGCTGTGTGACCTTGAAGCAGTCACTTATTCTTTCGGAGTCTTAGTTTTCGCATTTGTAAATTTGGATCAAAATGCAGTTAAGAAAAACACAGAAGAGCATTCCTTAATCTATTAACACTTCATATTTGCAGAGGATTTATCAAACATCCGTAGACTTTTTTTTTTTGTTTTGTTTTGTTTTTTTTTTTTTTTAGCAGTACGTGGGCCTCTCACTGTTGTGGCCTCTCCCGTTGCGGGGCACAGGCTCCGGACGCGCAGGCTCAGCGGCCGTGGCTCAGGGGCCCAGCCGCTCCGCGGCATGTGGGATCTTCCCGAACCGGGGCACGAACCCGTGTCCCCTGCATCAGCCGGCGGACTCTCAACCACTGCGCCACAAGGGAAGCCCTATATGCATTTTTAAATGAAAACTACTGTTACTCATAAAATTTGCTTCATATCAAATATATGCCCAGAGCTTGCTACCTAAAAAATCTGAAGAATCTCTAACAAGATGCTGAATTAAAGTCAGAATCAGTGCATGAAGTGAAAGAAAAAGGAATGAGACACTTTATGGATAAGAGTGAGAACGTTTATCCTCAAGTAATCATTAAGATGATTTAAAGTAATTAAAAGATAATTTTAGGTTTTTCTCAAAGAGTGCTGCTTCATAGATTGTGCGCACTCTTCAGGGCACTAGCATAAGGTAAAATAAGTCATGGAATGAAAATGATTTAACAATTATCCGTGGTACTAGGGCGGGAAAATAAGGTGGTAGATAGATGGGGATCAGCAAAGACAGCTCTGAGTTGGCCAACCATGGCTCGTTGGGTAGAGAGAGAAACAAACCACTGTAGTGTAGGGAGGGAGACTCGGCCGGATTCTGCATTTTTCAAGAAATGCTCTTTATAGTGACTAGTCAACTCCCCAAAGAGCTGATGAATAATTGTATGGCCCAGTATACTACTGCCAGAAGTAGCTATTGCAGTATGTAAGCATTTTATGATTTCATATTAAGAGATGAGGGCTTTATATAAATTTGAAATTTTTTCAAAAGTTCATTTTTCTCGTTAATTATTAAGCTAATTGCTTCCTCCAAAAAGAGAAGTTAAAGATCACCCATCATTTTCAGATGCCGTAGACCTTCATCTAAAGCAGTTCTGAGAAGGTTGAACATCAGATCTTTAGCTTAAGAAGAGGGACAAATGAAACCCAGCGAGGGCAGTGACCCGCCTGGGGTCACAGTGGATCCCAAACCTCTGGTACTTTGCTTCCTACAGCAGCCCCTGTTCTGTGACACTGTGAGGCCTCTGCTCATCCTGTGGCGGGTGATGTTGATACACTTTCTAGAAGCCAGGTGGAAAGAAAGGGGAAGAAGTCACATACTACATTGCTGTTGAACGTAATGTAATTTTAATAATGGAGCCTTACTAAAAGCCCTTCCGTTATTTTTGATTTTCTTTTTCAGTGAACGTCATGCCGTAAGTCAAATATTTGCTATCCCTTACGTAACAGTTTTTTAAGTTAAGGACATTAAGAAGCAAATGCCTGTTTTCAAAGCAATTAGCTTATTGTGACTGTGGTTTTATTCTGTTATGGTGGGGTTTTTTCCCCTTTAATGGGTATGGGAAAGTAATACTCATTAAGCTGCATTCTACCCCTTAGAGTCTCCCTCTCACCCTTCCTGTCCTTCCTAGTGTCCTGAAGCTTTGTCTTAACAAGCGCAACATTAAATTTTCTTGGTTAAAGCCTTTTTGAAACTGTATTCAGTGATTCTTCCAACAAGTTTATCTGCTCTGCACTATTTCACTAATAAACCCTGGCTACCACGTAGCCCCTGACCTCCAAGTAGTTTACCTATGCAAGACCTGTGACATCCTGAATTCACTTTTCTTTATTTCAGAAAGCACCCCTAAATGGAACTTAATCAAAGATAAACCTTGTCTCCACCCAGTTTTATTTTGGCCATTTCCTATTCAAAATGTCAGCTATTTTCCCCCAAGATTTTTCACCAAAACAGTGATCATAAGTGCTGGAATATATACTATTTTGCAGGAATAAAATAACCCAGAAATACTCTTATATTTCTTTGGTGGATTTTGGTTGGTAACTGTTACCAGCAGGAGGTGTAATGTATAATGAGGAGTTGATTCCTTGCCTAGAATCATTTCTTCCCTCTGAGGTTCATAGGATTCACCTTTTATTTTTACAAAGCATACATGTAACTTCCACGTTATAGTCAGGGACCTGAAGTGTAACTTGCTAAGTGAACCCCAAGGTTATTTTATCTTGCAAAAGAAACCTAAACCAAACTAAGGGCCTTACATTTATGGTTAGACTGAATCAAAAGCTGTAACCTCAGTTTTTCCGAAAACAGCTTCTGA